TTCCAAATCTCCTAACTCTCAATGGAAATTAAAACACGAAGCCATCTTCAGAATATGCCAAAATCTCAACCATCACCATTTACAAAATTGGAACCACAAAAATGATCCTCATGTTTTGTACATCATAATGATCTATCCAAATCAGTTCATAGCCTTAGGATCAACTCAATTCGTGCTCAAATAGAAATCACATGTCATCTTGGAATGTCTCTAACTACTCAAATTTCTATCCAGAAACGACCTAGGTTCCATCTAAACCCTAACCACATGCAAGAATCTACCTAGTTCAGCCTAGATCATGAGGAAACTTGAGAGTTACATACCTGAGAAAAATGGATCAACAGAGGTGGAAGATGATGGATTCAAGCTCCACAACTCTTCAGACACGATCAGTGAAGCAAGAGGAAGCTTTTCCAACCTTCAATTGTGCTTGATTGTGCCTTGAACTTCAAAACCATTTTCAGTTAGAAACCTTGAAAGCTCAACTGCAAACTCTCTGTTCAGCACAAATTCAACACCAACCTTCATCTGGAATTATTGAAATGAATATATAGAAGCTTCTCATGGGCTTCTGAGTCCAAATTAAGGCCCAATTCAGTGATCCAAAGTTTCTGATTTTCTCTTGAAAATCCAATGTGACAGTCACGATATTGCCCTCCCAGCTTGCTCTAGAGTGTTCTAACCAACTGCAAATTGGTCATGGAGTATGTTTGGATAGATAGTTCAGCCTGAAATGCCTTGATTTTTGTTTTGGAATTGTAACTTGTAAATGAAGTAATCACTTTACAAAGCATGTCATGTAATTAGGGCTCATCTCAAAATTGTGTAAATTCCATTGTGTTTAGAATGCAATTTCTGGTCAAAATGACTACTCACATGACATGTTTATGACCTATAATTCAAAAATCACATTTTCCCTCTTTTGAATCATTTGAAAAATCCCTCTTTTTAGGCCATTTTGGAGCACTTCTTGATACAAGCCAATCCAATTCACCATGACTTCACATATGACCTAAAAACATCATTCCAAACACATCTCATGTTGAACAATTTTCCATTTGAGGAGTGGAAGATAGAGATTTTGGCACATGCTTGAAAATGACCTATAATTCAACTTTCCCAAAATACCCATGGATTGCCAAGATCATAACTTGAGTTCCACACATCTTCTTGAGGACTTCTGGTACTCAAATTAAAGCTAAGATAAAGACCTACAACTCTTATGTTGGCCAAGAATCCATTTGAAAACTCCTTGAGGGGAAAAAGTTGCTTGGAAGTCAAGTGACTTTCACAGATAAATTTCAATGTCCTCTAGTGACCTGTAATTTGCAAGAACCATAACTTGAGTTCTATAAATCCCCTTGAGGACTTCTAGTACTCAAATTAAAGGTATTGAGATGCTCTACAAGTTTAATGTTGGTCAAAGATCCATTTGAAACTTGTATTTTGACTTATATGACTTGGAAGTCCAGTGCTATACAGGGGATTTTACCCTATGAACCCTGTCTCAAACACCTCCAACCACTCTTGATTCTTTTGAACTTGTTCTTGGCTCATCCACACACATGCTTCAACACATTAATCCATGACTTCCATGACTTAGATCTAGGTCTTGATGCCCTTTCTTTGCTCTCCTTGACCTAGGATTACCCAGATGAAACCCTAATTGACTGCACCTCAATTGTGGCTCTCGTACTTGAATCAATGACTTGTCTCAGCTTCAATATGGCCCTCTAGACATCCCATGAGATCCATACACACCTCACATTCCCATTCCATGCTTCTCATCCCCCTGATGATTCTCAACATTCCTCAAGATAGGAGCAAAACCCACATGTAGGCACTCAAGCTTCTCCAGACTTCAAATCTCTTCTTGATGACTTGAATGACTTCTCAATCTTTGATAACCTCTTGCTAGGCTCTTCTCTTGATAGACACCTTTGATCCCCTGTTGGAGGCATGCTATGCTATGATATGCAAATGATTAGACTATGTATATGATGTAACTATGCAAATGAAATGCAATGAAACACAAATCAGGCAAGAAAAGGTTGAGCAAATTTTGGGGTGCAACAGTGGGGTATGAATCACCTTCTATTATTAGATATCTTGAACCTTTAACAGACAGTGTTTTTCAGGCAAGGTTTGCTGACTGCCATTTTGACGAAACAAAATTTCCAACACTAGGGAGAGAAAATAAAAAATTACAAAATGAGATAACATGGTTTGTACCCCATTTATTATATTTGAACCCATATAATAAATCGTGAGAAGAAAATATAAAGAAAATTATGCACTTACAAGATTTAACAAATCAATTACCAGATTCTTTTACTGATTTGAAAAGAGTGATAAAGTCACACGTACCAGCTATAAATGTCTTAGCTCGGATTGAGATTTCAAATTTAAATGATGTAGCAAGTACATCTAAGGCACACTTAAAGCGTGGCTGACCTGTGGGATCCAAAGACAAAATCCCCAAAAAAGAAAAGGGATAGAAAAGGTGAATATGGTTGAAAGTGATCTTGAAAAGACACTAGATAATAATAAATCCACAATTGAAAAGCATGCTCCCGAAGAAGCACAAGATGATGATAATGAAAATGAAAACAAGAATGATCTTAAAATTTCAATTAATTATGTTGATACGGGAACTTTGTGGAACCGAAAATATATAAATATAGATGAAATGTTTTCATTCTCCATCGCATGTGAAATTATGAATGAAAATGATGATCCTGAACCAAAAACTATGAATGAATGTCAAAATAGACATGATTGGAAAAATTGGAAGGGTGCAACAGATACTAAATTAAAATCTCTTAAAAATCGAAAATTATTTGACGTCGTTACGACTATACCAAAAGATGTGAAACCGGTTGGGTATAAGTGCGTCTTTGTAAGAAAACGAAATGAGAAAAATGAGATAGTCAAATACAAGGCTCACCTTGTTGCACAAGATTTTTACCAAAGACCGGGAATCGATTATGAGGTAACTTATTTTCCTCTTATGGATGTCATTACTTTTCGTTATTTAATTGGTTTATCAGTATTTAACAATCTTGATATGTATCTTATGGACGTTGTTACTGCTTATTTGTATGGGTTACTTGATACTGATATATACATGAAAATCCCATAAGGATTTAAAATTCCTGAGACATCAAAACCTAGAGAAATGTATGCAATCATGTTGCAAAGGTCATTGTATGGGTTAAAACAATCATGGTGCATATGGTATAATAGACTAAGTGAATATTTGCTTAAAGAAGGCTATGAAAATAATCCTATTTGCCCATGTGTTTTTATAAGAAAAACAATATTCGGTTTTGTAATAATTGTTGTCTATGTTGATGATTTAAATATCATTGGAACTAATAGATAAATAAAGGAAGTAAGAGATTACTTAAAGAAAGACTTTGAAATGAAAGATTTGGGAAAAACAAAGTTCTGCCTTGGTTTACAAATTGAGTATACTAAAAATGATATATTGGCACATCAATCAAATTATATAGAAAGGGTATTGAAAAGGTTTAACATGGACAAAACAAACCCTTTAAGTACTCCAATGATGGGTAGAACACTTAACATTAAAAATGATTCATTTAGACCTAAGGAAGGTAATAAAGAAAATCTTGAATCTGAAGTACCATACCTCAGTGCCATTGGGGCACTCATGTACCTTGCTAACTATATCAGACCTGATATAGCTTTTGCAGTAAATTTATTAGCAAGATTCAGTTCATGTCTTACAAAAAAACATTGGAAAGGAATAAAATATATATTTCGATATCTTCGAGGTACATCAGACCTTGGTTTATTTTATTCTAACAATACAAAACCAGTTTTACTTGGTTATGCATATGTAGGATATTTGTCAGATCCACATAATGCTAAATCACATACTAGATATATATTTACATATGGTAACACTGCAATATCATAGAGATCACAAAAGCAAACACTTGTAGCAACTTCTTCAAATCATGCTGAAGTAATTGCTCTTCATGAAGCAAGCAAAGAATGTAGATGGTTACGATCGGTAACTAGACATGTCCAAGGAGCAACTGATTTATCCGTTGATAATAATCCAACAATTTTGTATGAAGACAATGTTGCATGTGTTACCCAGATGAAAGAAGGTTACATCAAAAGTGATAGAACCAAACATATCCCTTCAAAGTTCTTCTCATTCACACAAGAACTTGAAAGAAACAAAGAGGTTAATATTCAATATATTCGTTCATGTGATAATATGACAGAACTCTTCACAAAGACACTTCTTACATCAATTTTCAAGAAACATGTAGAATGCGTCAACTTCGAGATCTTTAAAGAACTGTGTATACTCTGTTGAGGGGGGCATCATGTTGTACTCTTTTTCCCTTATTAAGGTTTTTATCCCAGTGGATTTTTCTTAATAAGGTTATTAACGAGGCAATATATGTTCCCATAAGTTTCTTCTTTGATAAGACTTCGATGAAGCACCGTAATAGATATTTCAAAAGGAGAGTGTTATAATATTATTATTAAAATAATATTATTATTTAGAAATATCTATCTAAATAGTAACGACAAATTATTGTAGATACATAATTTGTTAAAGTTTAAATAGTAAGTTCAATTATTATATTAATGTAATAATTGTATTTTTAGTAGTATAAATATTATCTTTGGCCTATATAAAAATACACATTAAAATTTACTTTGAAAGTAGAAGTAAAATATTTTTATTTCTTCAATTTTTCATCTAAATTGATAGTTAAACTAATTTAATAACTTATATTAGTTCATAAATATTAACAAATATTAAAAGTCGATTTTTCTATTAAAAAAAAAACTTTTTTTTTACAAACCATAAAACAATATTGGAAAATGAGAGACTAGCGAAAACCCTCTGTTGTGTGGCGTGTCACCTGCGTTTCAGTTTCACTGTTTACGTAAGCCAAGCCCTAATCACAAAACGGAACCAAAAACCCCAATCTCAGTGACGAAGCACCATGAGAGGCTTATTGGGAGCAACAACACCAGTCGCCACCAAATTCTTGTTCAACCAACCAAAACCTAAATTGCTACCATGCAGAAATCGAGCCTACAGTTTGATCCCTATGGTCATTGAAACCTCATCCAGAGGTGAAAGAGCCTACGATATCTTCTCTCGTCTTCTCAAGGAACGCATCATTTGCATCAATGGACCCATCTCTGATGACACCTCTCATGTCGTGGTTGCTCAGCTTTTGTTTCTTGAATCTGAAAACCCTTCCAAGCCTATCAACATGTACCTCAATTCCCCTGGTGGTGCCGTTACTGCAGGTAGTAATTAATAACATCAATTATCATTTTTGATTGCATACATCTCCTAAAAATCTCATTTTTTTATTACCCATTTTGTTGTATCACAATAACCCCCTAATTATTAATCCCTTCATGTGAAAAAGATGTGTTTTTGTCCTGAGATTTACTTTGGAGTCTGTTTGGATAAGCAACTTAATTAACCATGTTGAAAGTCAGACGTTGGATGAGATATGAGATACAAGATGAGACATCTCTCACTCTATAAGTTTGTTTTGTAGGATTGAGTTAGACTAAACTCAAATTATAAGTGCTTATCATGTAAGTGGTTATGTATTTCTAAAATCAAAACAAAAGTATAATCAAATTGTTTTTAGATAAGCTATAAGTTGTTTTCAGAATATCATTGAGAGCTCATCAAAATTAGCTTAAACAACTTATTGATGTGTCAAAATGATTTTAAGACCATTCTAACACTCTCACGAGTGCTTATGTTAATCTATTCATAGGTCAATCCAACTGCAATCTCGGTGTTGCAAGTTATGAATCATTTTGGAGAATAGTGCTTGTATGTTAAAAGACCGGGGGGTTATGGTCAGGGTTGAAAGAGTTAAAAGACCAGAGGTAAAATACAGTGAAATTGTTTTCATATAAGTTTTAAATTGTTTTCAAAAGATGTCAAGAAAAGGTTAACAAAGTTAGCTGAAAACAACTTATCGGCGTGTCTTAAGTTGTTTCTTTAAGAACCGTTCAAACACTCACAAGTGTGTATATATGCTTGTAGGTAAAGCCAAATAAAGTATTCAGAAATCAGTCCATACGCAAATCTAATAAGTTCTGTATCTTTTGGAGGAATAGTGTTTATATTCAAGTTCATTATGAATGAATGACTGAATGAGTGAATAACTAATTGACTTATTGTCTTATGATTACCAAATGCCTATAATTGCCTGCTAACAAACTGTTGAGTTGGATAGTGATACAATTGATGTCTGGTTGTAATGCGTGTAGGGCTTGCAATTTATGATACTATGCAGTACATTCGGTCTCCGATCAACACAATGTGTTTGGGGCAGGCTGCATCCATGGCTTCTCTCCTGTTGAGTGCGGGTGCCAAGGGTCAGAGGCGTTCTCTTCCGAATGCTACAATCATGATTCACCAGCCTTCTGGTGGATACAGTGGCCAGGCAAAGGATATTGAAATTCATTCCAAGCAGATTAAAAAAGTCTCGGAAGCGCTGAATAAGTTGTACGTCAAGCACACGGGCAATACGATTGAAAAAATTGAGAAGGATATGGATAGAGATCATTTTATGACTGCCGAAGAGGCAAAGGAGTTTGGGATTATTGATGAGGTTATTGTTAATAGACCTCTGACTTTGGTTTCTGATGCTGTTGGCGATGAAGACAAAGATAAAGATTCAAATTAGAACTGGACGGTAAGGTTTCTTTGAAGAATCCTTGCTTTTGAAATGTTTTCCTGCCACCTTGGGCATTAGTTGCAGTTGGTATAATTTTACCAATTGGACATAATCTAGTTTCAGTTATTAGATTTTACAATTAAGTTTCAGTCTTTCTTCCCAATTCGGTTTTATTGGCATATTTTAATCATACAGATTTTGAGATTTTAAGTACCCTTATCTTGAAGTTGCTAATTATTCATAATAATGTAAGATGAATTTTTCAGTAAGTGTGTCTTATAGTATTTATCCGATTGTCAAATTGTGTGTGAAAGTAATGCTTTTATATCTTCTGAATTTGGTACTTGAAGCTCTCTTACTTCCTAGTGCTTTGTATACTTCTATCCTATTATTAGCCATCATCCTAAGAGACTGAGAGGAATGGTTTGATATTCTGCGGTTCTGCCTGATGTGATGCATCCAAGTTTCTTGGTTTTGAAATTGCTTGAAGATTGGGTTGCTGAGTTGTTTCCGTCCTGGTTTGTGGACCCTTACAAATTTAGAATGGCATGAAAGTTTGCCCAGATATTGGAATACTTTCTTATCATTTGGGCAGAACAATAAGCTTTGATTCTAAGTGCAAACTACCCTTCTAGTATCACCTAATTTGAAAAGAACATTCAGTTGGCTCTTCAAACCTGAGAATGCTACGTTATTATTAATCCAAATTAATTTTGCTTGGCAATGTTATAGTAAATTACAACTGGTTGAAATTCATTTTTATCGGACAAGTTTGTGAATGATAATGAAACAAAGATACAAGTTTTAACATACCGTAGATCTCATAATCTATTGACGCACATCACTCCTCTTCGTGTTCCTTTGGTAAAGGAAAGCATAAAATGTCTCCATGAGGATTTCTTTCGCAACATTCCAAACAGAACTTTCCTGATGTAAATCCCCCGTGGACAATACCTATAAGGTCAATTCTTTGATATGTCTTCTGGATGATCTATACGGGGGAGTGCCGTCGTGCTCACTTGTTGTATATGTGTTTACTGTTGTTTTTGATAAATCAATTTTAAGTTTTAATTAAATTCGAAAAATTCTTCTGATATATTGTGCAAAATATTTTATGAAAATGTGTGTATGTTTGGAAATTAAACGTTTGAATGTGGAATAATTGGATAGAAATTTTAAGAGTAAGGTGTAAAATTGCTTGAATAGTAAAGTAAATGAAAGGAAAGGATAAAGTCAATCGAATGAAATGCTTAAGTTAAAAATGAAATGCAAGTTCATATATTTTTTCACAATTCACTATCTTTGCAACTTCGATGTTTGAATTCTATAGAGGACGATAATAAAAAATGTGAACCCTTGTTGCAGAGACTAAATCAACTTATATACGCGGGCGTTAGTAACTGTCAACAACGGCTAATTCTCTAGAAATTGACATGTACATTGTTGCGTGGCCTTTTATTATCTACATTGCTTCCACGTGTCTTTAGTTCTTGAATTCCTGCAAAACTACCACTTTTGACGAGAAACATTTCCAAGTCCTTCAATTACCTCGGTCGAGAATTCTTAGTCGAATCTTATAATCTTGGTGTTGAACCACGCTTCAACTACTTGTGTTTAGCATGTGTATTTATCTCACACCCTATTCCTGTCGAATATGACAAATCACTAAACATGTTTTTGAGATTCTGAACATGTTTTGAAGAGAGAGTGATCATAATTTTGTGGATCTGTTCTTCAGATTATTCCAAACGAGTCTTAGTGGGTTTTAGTGTAACTTGAGTCGAAAATCACGGTGACCTGAGACTTGTCAGTTATTAACCAAACTTCAATTTAGCTTTACCCAAATTTTACCAAAATCTCTTTTCATCCATAAGGACAAAATTTGTTTGGCCACCATACACTGGCGGGGGAAAGCTATCAAGCATGTTTAGATTTTTATGTCAAATAAGTAATTACTCTAGCCCCATTTGAATTTCAAGCTTCTTAAGTATGCACACAAAAATTTGAAGACTAGTGGTTAACTTATCTTCTTGACGTTTTTGTGGACAATAAGCTTCTTTACATTTCTTATTTGTCTCTGTTCGTATTTTCAGAATTGAAAACAAGGAAGTAGTTCCACAACCACTACCCCAGGTCTAAAGAAAGCAAGGAAAGATAAAAGCCGTGTCATTCTTTAAAGTGAAGGAACGCAAGTCCAACTTACACTTTGATTTTATTTTATTTCTTCACATTCGTTCTTTATTATACTAATTACCATGTTTTAGTCTGAATAAATAATTCAAGAAGAAAATAAAGAAGTCGAGTCCAACGATGAGAGTGATGAAAGTTTGGTTTTCTCCTATGTATCAAAATAACTTGCCCAGAAAAAACCGAGAGGACTGAGATTATTCAAACACCAGAAAAACCGAAACACGTTGATAAACTACAGGAGGACTAAATGCTGCTCAAATCCAAGAGGACCGAGATCAAAGAGAACCTCAATATGTTGATGTCGAGAATAAACAACCGCGAGTGAATCATACTTTGCCAACAGCAAATGAGCACCCACTATCGTCAGCAACTATTATTCACCCTCCAATTCAGAATTTTTCATCCAACATTTCTGACACTTCTCTCAGTCGAGAAGAATTGAAGGCTATCAAAGAGAAAAATATTGCAGAGGCTTTGGAGAAGTTTATGAGAAGTCGGGGTATTTCAGTTGAAAAATCTCAAAGTTCTTCAACTTCTTCATGCAATGAACCTTCTAGTTACTCTTCTATTGTGTTGGTTCAACAACTGAAGCGAAGGTTTTCGACATGGATCTATTTCATACCATTGAAGAAAACTTTATCGTTGTCTATGATATTAAGACCTTGTAGAAACAACTTAACAATCCAAACTCACATGGTTCTATTGTCGGCTTTATCCTTGAGTTTGAGCCATTTCTTGAGCAAACTGCTTTGAACATCAAACTAAAGAAAGAATTTGCCAATAAACTGACTAGTAAAATTAATTAGTTGAAGGCACGAGCTAAAAAGGATAAGGATCAAGTAGCAATTTGCAATGCAAATATTTCTAGCTAGATGAAACAGATGGAAGAGTTACAACTAAAGATTGAAAAAGAAAGATGAGAGAAAAATAAAATAGTAACCTTAATAATGACCTATATTAACAAAATGCTAGTTCAGGAAACCAACACTGGTCTTCAATATGCTAATGTTGCTTTTGTGCTGGATGAGGAAGTTCAAAAACTAAAGTTTGAAGATTTCACATGTAATACCAAAATCAGACTAGCAAAGCAACATATTGAAACAATTAAGGTTGAATTTTCTCTTTAAGTTTCCGATTAGAATTTCCTATTGTATGACCATGTTAATGATAATTTTCTATTTTGGAAATTTTCAATTGTAATATTATTTTGACATCTTTATTTTTTGAGTATTATTATTCCATTATTAGAATTTCCAACAATATATCTTGTACTTTTTTAAGTATTTTTCCTTTATTCTTAGAATTCGACCTTTAAGGGTCAACTATTCAACCTCATAAGCATTATTTAAAAACATTTGGCTAATTCAAAATGGATCTTCCCAATTTGGTGACCATTTACCTAAAGCCCAATTTTTTCAATCCATAGGTAAAATATTTTTCCAAACGTGATCTTCAACTGCAAAAGTTTTTTACTTAACTTTCTTATTGTAAGCCTTAGTTATTCACTCTTTTTTTCTTATGAGAACATTCAAGGCAGCTAACTTTTCCTCATCAAAATCAAATAATTCGTCTAACATCATAGTCCAATAATGGTCAGAAGGAATTCAACTTGTCTTTGAATTCTAGTTGATTGTAATAAATCTCGACAAGCAAAACTGCATCATGACCAAATGCTAGTCAAAATCAAGTATAGTTTGTTGCCTCTTTAGGGGAGTTTCAACAAGCCCATAATACTTAGTCTAAAGTATTATGCCAATTTCTTGGCTTGTGACCCACATGTCTCTTAATTAGACCTATTATAATTTTGTTGGCTGCTTTGACTTGGCCATTTGCATGGGCATAATAAGGGGTATATGTCAAAAGTTTAATCCCCGAGTCTGAAGCAAACTCAACCATCTTGTGAAAAGTAAAAATGGTACCCTGATCAGTGGTTAGAGTTTCAGAAATTCTAAACCTATAAATAATATGACTTTGAATGAAGTCGATTACTACTTCTTAGTCGACCTTTATCAAAGGAATAACTTCTACCCACTTGGTAAAATAACTGATACCAACCAAAATGTATCTATGACTTTTGGATGATGTAGGTCGAATTTAACAAATTAAATCTAAGGCCCAACCTCTAAATGGCCAAGGCTTGACTATTGAATGCAATTCACTTGCAGGAACATGTTGAATATGTGCATGTTTTTGACATTCATGGCAACCTTTGGCAAATTCAATATAATATTTCAACATATTTGACCAATACAACCCTTGTCAAAATAAAAGTCATTTCATTCTATGGCTTGCTTGATGAGTGCCACATGATCCACTATGGGCATCAAAAATTGCCAAACAAGTTCCACTCTCACAAAGGCATTTAAGCAAGATTCCTTCAGACATCTTTTTAAGTAACTCATTCCCAATAATAACATAAATTAATGCATTGTGTATTATTTTTCAATCTGTCATTCCTTTAGGATTTTCCAAAAATTCAACAATTGATTTTTGCCAATCATTATTCGACATAGTGCCAATGGAAAAATTATATAATAAAATCCTCAAAGTTTTTTACTCCTTCCAACCCTTCTACTCCTACCAGTTTTGAATCTAACAAATCAAAGGGGAAAGGATTGGTTGATATCGAATTTTCCTTTTTTTCAATTAATTCAAATATTTTTCCTTTGGACATTCTATATCTTGAAGCAATCTTTGCTAAATAGTTGGCCTCTTGGTTTTTGACTTGAGGGGCATGTTAATGTCGACTTCGTCAAATCTTTTGAACAACGAATTGGTTTTCACAAAATACATCAGTAAATTCTCATTGATTCATTTGT